ACTTATGCTTTCGTAAGGAACTTTCACCAGCGAGAAAGTTTTTTGAGGGATATGCCGCCTAGCAGCAAATCTGAAAACTATACCATTCCAATATATTCAGATGTACTATGTATTACATGTCTTACATAACCTAAAACAAGAAAAAAGAAAGAAAAACAGAATAGAATATTGCTTAAAGCGAAAATTTTATAGTGTCTCTTTACTTTTTTCACACCCTACTTTTTCCTACTCTAGCAATTCATTTGTATGCACTTGATAAACAAGACAATACACGATGACACTTTACATTACGGTGCGGTCTCCAGTTACGATGATATTTTAATTTTGGGTCACTATTACTACAATGATTGTCACAATGGACTCCGAATACGAGTAGACCCAGAATGTTTATAGAAATGTATATATTAATAGAAAATATTTAGATAAAGCAACGGGACCTGGACAGAAATGTGTTCTACGATTTGGGAATTCTAAAAATATGTTTTTAGTCTGTTTCTTTTACGTAATGCATATATTTCTATGGTTTAAGTTAAAAAAAAACATATGAAATACATAAGATGTATATTTCGTTAAGTAACTATTGTATCGTAACTGTATAGCAACGAATCATAAGTATGAAATTTGTGGTAATTATACACATTTAAAATTGTGTATCTCATCTATTTATTAGACGTGATAGTTTGTATTTCAAAATAAAATACATAACTCGGTATTGGTTACTTCCGTCGAATTATATGGCCATGTGTTCAGGTTTTAATAAAAGATGCTAAATAACGTAAAATAAGTATATTTGTATTAACATCGCACACGTTAAGATAAGTACGGACTCTGCTTTATCGGCATGCATTCGTTAAATTTACCCACTGGAACAACTTCAAGAAACACAGAGGCCATAGATCGTACGAAGAAAGCAGTGTTTATTTAAGTGTTTTTCAATAATGCCGCAAATCCATAGAGGTAGGATATATAGATAAATTTTTTCATGTAAAGTAATTTTTATAGATGAAAATTGTCAAATAACACCATCCCATATGGAAATAAATAATGCTTGTGCTTTATTGTATTTTGAATTACAATACATTACAATATATCACAATAATTACAAAAAATATTGTTAACGTTTAATTTATTTTTGTATTAATATATTCTTTAGGTATTTTTTTTTTTGTATACGTAAATTGCATAAATATTCACAGTCTACTAATGAGATGTCAATCTTCATTGTCGGTTTATGTATCCTTGATGTTTAAAAGAATATATTTTCTTAATCTGTAGGAGACAGAAGGTGGAGGATAAAAAGATAGCGGGATGCTTCCTTAGTAAAAGTCCTTATTCAACTAACTGATGGACTTCTACATACTGACTGACTTGTACACTCTGACTGGCAGCCTCGTTTAAACCGTTCATTCTGTCCTCTTTTCACACTCAGGCTTTTTTCCCAATCATGCCTCTTTCCCCGCAAACTCGATGGACCAGCTACTTTAAACACGCACCGCACTCATAAACTAACTTCTATTCGTCTATCACACTCGGCTCTGTCATACACATCCATTTGATCTCCTTGCGCGCGGTTACCTTTGTTCTATGTTCAAACACTTCTCTTTCAAGGCCCTACTCATTCCAATCCTACACATCAAATTGCAATTTAAAAAGTAATATATTGTTTTAACCATTAATTTTATGTTATCAAAATAATGTTATGAAAATGACCAGTTATTTTTACAATTTTGTAGTATCGAAAATATTTTGTGCGAGTGATGGAGCGATTGTCGGCGCGATTGACGAATCTTCGAATCGGTATAGCAGGGGAGCGGATGTTTATTATAGATTATCGTTGGCGCGAAAAGGACGAATGAGTTCCTAGAATCCACGCGGAGTTTTCAGATGTTGGTTGGTGACGCACAGTATGAATGTGTAGTATATGTGAGGAAGGAGAATACTGAAGGTTGAAAACGGATAGTCAGTTACAGGCAGTCAGAGCAGGCATACGAGAGATGAAATCTGCGAGTTACAAAGCTCTAAAGACTGAAGGATCAGTCAGTATGACTTCGATCTTTCAAGCTGTAATTGCTGGTCTGACAACAGTCGATCAGTAAGAACCAGCGGCCTGGGCATTGGACTTTGTCGAGCTTCTGCCACTGCATACCTTCTATTTCCCTCGACGATTATTGTACCGCGGATCTTCGCGTCAAAAAATAGACGTTACCACACACAATTGAGGGAGTGCAGTTCATAACCCCTCTGGTTCGTTCGGAATGAGGATGCAACGTGATTGTGAGTTACAGTGACAATAGAAGCTACCCAAGATGTCTAAGTGCGGTGTCAAAACTGTTATTAACGCGAATGGACTACTTGACGCGAATTGCGACCACGATTAAAGGCAGCGATCAGGTTTGAGATCGAACGTGGTCAGGACTTGGATGAATTTGACGTGCTGGATGCTGATTCGGATACTACTACTGAAGATTTTCGTCGTCGGGTTCATTTCGAGATGTTGAAGAGTCAGTAAGCATATTTTGTAGTGACGATACAGTCGATACGTAAGTTATCGGTTGCAGAAGTTTGAGAAAATGTTCACAATGTGTAAGTGGGATAACGTTGAGTAGATAGTATACGTAAAGAGGCTGTTGAGAGAATTGGTAAAATTATTTGTGGAAAGTGAGAAACATAAAAGTCGGTCGAAATTATGAAGGCATTCAAATTCGAATTCTTTCCAGTTGTGGATTTGCATAATCACATAAGGTACATACACAATTATTCACAAGGATTAGAAGACCCGATGAATGCTACATCAAATACATTTATCAAATGCTTGAAATTGCGAAACAAATGGATGTTGAAGTTTCTGCAACGATTAAGTACATCATTGGCGATATTAAAGACGATGAGATAAATAAGACCATATTATATGGTGTGGCGAATATGAGAATTGAAAACAACATTTATGCTGTACGAAGGAATAAAAGGTAATGGGAACAAAAATATAAACAGATGGGAAAAAGGAAATACAAACGTACAATTAAGAGGAAAATGAAACAACTGGGACGCTGGAACACAACACAGGGACACTGGGAGGACTTGTTGTTTTAGATGCGGATTGAGGTGTCATCGAAGTGCAAAATGCCTTACAAAGGCCCCTCCCTGGGTCAAATCCCAAATGCGTTGCCTAATCGTGTTAAAATTAGGTGTCGAATTGATTCTGGTGACTGGCAATACTCGAAACCATAAAAAGGTATTTCCTACAAATATAAAATGACGACATTGTAAATAATTCAGAAACAATCTTAATTTCATTGCACCTCACATGTTTGGTCATTATTACATCTCGGGACACCATAATCTGTAGCCTTTTGCGCATTTCTTGTAACTGATCATGATGCATTCTGTGGAGAAATCATGGGCAAATGTTATAAACTATTTACTTCTTCCGATAGACTGTATTGGCATGGATCCGCATATACCACAATGTATTAATTTGCATACCTGGCTGATCTGTCTTCCCTTGAATTTCTTGCATAGTGTCTGGAATATCTAGATTATATTTTCCGAATATCTGGAACGTAATACAAATTATTCAGTATTATTCCATTTTCTTAACTTTTGACTGTGATTATTATGGTTATGCTATCTATTCCTTTTGTTTTTATTATGGCACAGCTCCGTTGGTTTGTGTTTCCAGCAGTGTTCTTCTCTTGATACTGGCCCGTTATATTTGAATAAAAGAATCTCTTCTATCTTTTTTGAAGCGAACTTGTTCATTGTCTCGTAGGTCTGCTAATGCCATATTGAGGTTTACGCAACTATCTGGAAGATCTGATAATAAAGTATAAGCACGATCTTAATAATTAATCCCAGCAACTTGTGTTCTTGTTAAATAGATTCGCACCTTGTCATTACCTTTCATTTTCAGATGATAAAACTGACTTTTGAGTTGCACTATTCTGACTTAATAAGTCAGAGTATAAGAAATAAAATACATGTACTTAATCGAATTTTTACACATCATCATCACATTGTAAACAAAGGAATAACGACAACTGTCAATACAAATCCCGGTTAACGTTCGCAGAGTGACAACACATAAGCAAAGGAGGAACTACACCTACTGAATCCATAGGCTAGTTTTTTTTTGTTCTTCGTATATTCCTATTATCATTTTTAACATATTTAATTGACATCACAATGCAGTTGTTAACATTTTTCTTTCCAAATAACTGTTTTTCTAAATTAATTGATACTACATTCATTGTTTGTAATAATTCTAACGTTAACATATTATATGAGTGCCACACACAGCCTGTTTTACGTATGTATTGTATTTGATTACTGGAGACGTCTACCGGCAAATAGCGTAACTACTTTTTCTCGCAAGTGAAAACGTGCGTTCTGTGTTATTTCTAGACGATTTCTACGTCGAAAAGTTATCGCTTCTCGGCCTATGGCTAAGATCAAAGTGTAGTATCTGTTCTTATCAGCTTAATATCTGGTACACTCCCCAACCGGGAGTCAGAATATTAGTCTGATTTTTGGGAACCGGCGGTAATCAAGAGCTCGCTCTTATCCCGCCGCGGGTTGGCTCGGCATTGCAGTGCCGTCGGGCTCAGCCCCACGAGTTCCCTGAAAAATCATACTCTATACTGTGGCTCTCCACTCCTCTCCGAGTGCAGTCAAGTGCGGTGTTCCCTCCGGTGTGCGCGTCGAGTCCGGGTCGCGAGTGTGCCTGAGAGCAGCGAGGCGGCGCGCGGTATAGGGAAAACCCACTACCAATCCCTCTCTCTGCCCCGATCCCAGTCCGCGAATATTCCCACGATAGTTACCTCCGCAACCGGTTGCTCACGCGTATTTTATTATTTTCGGTTCTCTCACGCGCCTCCCCCGTTCTACCGTTAGTTGCAATAGCATGGAAACCGAGCTATGGGCGGCCGGTCGTCGCGACACCGAGGACTGGTACGAAGTCGACCGCGCATCCACCTGCCGAGTCCTCGTCGGGTTCGCTGGCTCCAGGCCCTTCGTCGAGCGGTGCGAGGCCTTCTACCCGTCAACCGAAGGCTACTTTTGCGGAGTCTGTTGGTGGGCCTACCCCGACTACGAGGAGCCCTGGTTCGAGTGCCTCGACGAGTTCAGGAACCACATCCTCGGAGATCATCCAGACGTGGAGATCCAATACAATTGCTCGAGATGCGACTACGTCGGGCATCACACCATCTGGCCCCACGAGATCGAGATACATTTCGTCCGGAAGCACCGGGACGACCATCTTTGGTCGGAGGAGGCGGAGGTGTATTTCGAGCTGGAAGGCGAGCTCCCTTCTCCCGTCTGCCTCTCGGGCACTGTGTCGAACATCAGCGATCCCACGTCGAGGAAGAAAAAGCGGAAGAAGAAGAGGAAAAAGAAGAAAAAGAAGAGCCAGTCTTCGCTGTCCCACGCCCGGCTGCCCCTGGCCGAGGAGCGATGCTCCCCACCCCGCTCATCCTTCCCGTGTCCCGACGACGTTCCTTGTTGTCGTACACACCCCTCCCCGATCCCCGATTCCCAGCCTGGCTCTTCCAAAGCCGGATTCACCTACCTTCGCCATCACTTTCCTCCGCTTCCCCTAGCCCGCATACGTCCGTGAGACGTCGGTTCTTGCGACGGCTCCGTGGGCTCCGTTGGGTCAGCGAGGCTGACCCATTACTCCCGAAGCCTCCCCGCGGCGCGACGCGCTCCGCGACGATCCGACGCGGGTCGAGACCTCTCCACCAACCTCTCCTGCCCGCCGCTCCGCAAAGGGGCGGCGCATCCTCCACTCGATCCCATACATGACCCGTCCGCTTCCCGAAACGGCGAACCTGTGACGCGTGTTGTTGCAGGCGCCTCCAGTACGGGCAACTCCATCCTGCCTGCTCTTTCCCCGTAAGGGGCGGCGCATCCTCCACTCGATCCCATACATGACCCGTCCGCTTCCCGAAACGGCGAACCCGTGACGCGTGTTGTTGCAGGCGCCTCCAGTACGGGCAACTCCAGCCTGCCTGCTCTTTCCCCGGCGATGGGGTCGTCGTCGAGGAAGAAAAAGAAGAAGTCCAAGCCTCCACCCGATGACGGATGCGCTGCCGTTTCCTCGACCGGGCCCGTGACCGCCACCACCACCTCTACCAAGGTCACGCGCGGGGTGACATCCACTCCGACCGCGACCGCTGCCACAGCCTCGGTGGGCACACACCCGTTGCCAGATGCCGGGCATCCACCCACCGTCACCGCTCCAATGTGCAGCGGCGCGGCCACCCTGAGCACGACGACGCTCGTCACCTCCACCTGCGGCCGGCCGGTGATGTCTCCGGCCTCCGCTACGACCGCCAAAGCGGATCTCCTCCTGCGGGCACTGACGCCATTGCCCTGCTGCGCGCCTACGAAGGGCTCTCCCAACGACGCTGCAACCAGGCCGAGGGAGACTCCCACCTCATCCACGGCGCCAGCCGGGTCGGATGCGTCGGAACAAGCCGGGGGACCAACAGCAACGGCGGACGTACGCGACGATGACCCAGATCTTCCGGTCGCGGCTGCAAGGACCATCGAGGACGGCAGGAGGCCACCGAGTTGTCCAACGCCACTATGGACCCCGCCGTCCCCGTCGCCGGAGGACAAGCAGAGACCTGCGCCCGCGTCGTCCCCTTTTCCCCAGCCACCCATCATGCTACCCCTCTCGCCTCCGTCCCTACCTAGGTACGTGGGCTCACCGACGAACATGTACGAGCCCTACGTACCCTCCCTCGTGCACACTCGGAGCTTCCTCTCCTGCCCCACCTGTTGGGGCAGATTGAGACTACCCAGTACGCAGAGGTTGCTCCGTGCTCGTTAATCACCCTTTATTGCATATGAAAATAGCTGTTATTTTTATATTTCCATTTTCATGAGTTCCTTTTCTGTTTTTTTCCCATATTCTTTTTTTTTTTTTTTTTCTGCAGTACCTACGGGGTCATTCGGGCCCTGCGGGCTGCTTAGCGATATTGCATGGTTACCCCACTCGCTGGTCTGAAGTGTCGGGTAGCGCGAGAACTGCGTGATGTGCGGTGGCAAGAACCATCGCAGATATTTGTATTTGTATTAACTTGTGTACAAGTTTACTTGGAAGTGAGGAAGTTGTAAGGAGCTCGGATCCCGGTGTCTCACCGGCGGTAATCAAGAGCTCGTTCTTATCCCGCCGGGGGTTGGCTCGGCATTGCAAGGCCGTCTGGCTCTGTCTTATTGGTTCCCCTAAAGATCTTCTGACTCTCCCCTCCCTGTAACAGCGGCAATGTTAGTGGTTTTAACGGTCGCGTCGAGTCCGGGTCGCCAGTGCCCCGAGTGCGCGTGTGGGATGTGGTGATTGAAGTTCGCTGGCTGGTTCCCGTAGTGTTGGGTGTCACTCCACGTGGTGATGGAGACACAAAGGCCCCTACCGTGTTTCGGGTACGCTCCCGCGTTACCGCACCGCAGGGCGTTTTCTCGGCGTCCATCGCTTCTAGTGTTGATGCTCCCGTGTAAATACACGTGTAGCTTAGGCCTTGTTCTTTTTTCTTGCTTACATTCTAGAACGTTCGAGAAACCGGGGAGTACGCGCTCGCTGCTAGTCAGTTTAACGGCTCGCGCACCGACTTCGCTGTTCGCGGATCCGTCATTCGTTTCTTTCCTATTCTTTCTCTCTTGTATATATATTTTCCTTTCTCTCATATAATTTCTTCCTCGATTTCTATTAAGCTTTCGCGCACCCCGTTAAAACTAGCAAAAACGAACTCTGTTATCTTCCTTCGCCCCGATTCGCATTCGCGACCGCTTCTTACGTAGTTGTACGTAACCGGTTCTACACACGCATTTTTCTTTTTCGTCATTTTCATTCCTATTTTACTTTTCTTTTTCGTTTCGTTTTGTCGCGCCATTAACTTGCAATAACATGAACGGTGCCGTGCTCTCGCCGACCTACCGCTGCAATATCGAGGACTGGCATGAAAAGCACTATCCATCATCAATCCGTGTCACCTGCGGGTTCACCGTTCTCAGGTGCTACGTGAATGTCTGTGAAGCTTAATATCCATCCACCGACGGGTTCGACTGTTGCGTGTGTCAGAGGTTCGCGCCTGATGAAGAGCCGTGGTTCGATACCATCAAGAAGTTCACGAACCACATGATCGAAGCATATCAGCATATGGTCATAGACTATTATTGTTCGAAGTGCGAGTATATCGGGTAGTATACCATCGGGTCCGAGGAAATAGAATACCACTTCGTGACAGAACACAGGAATGACCATCTGTGGGAGGTTGAGATGGAACCGTACTTCTACCTGTACAGTGGCCACCCTCATGCCACTGGACGTCGCGCTCCTCTTCGTACATCAGTGAGTCCACTACAAAGAAGAAGAAGAAGCTTGGTTGTCCCCCGCTCGCTCGTCCGTGGCCCAGGAGCGATGCTCCCCTCCCCTTCAAACCATCCCGTGTGTACATAACGATCCGTGTCGTACACACCTTTTCCCGAGCCCCAATCCACTGCCCGGCTCCACCAAAGCCGGATCCCTCCATAGCCCTTCAGATCCACCGTTGGGTCGGCCCTGCGGGGGCAACTGGTCGGACGCGTCCAGCGTCAGGTCGGAAGAGCGGACAGCCCGAAGCGGCAAACGTGCGGCTTGGATTGCAAGGTATTATGCAGAGCGCCAGGATGGACCAGCGAGGAGTCAATCTCCATCCGAGCGACTCCACCCCCGATAACACCCGAGCCTCGTTCTTCCTCTGCGCGCCAAAGCATCTCGCCTGCTCCTCATCCGGCGGCGGAGTCGCAACCGAGAAAGAAAAGGAACAAATCGAGCGTCCTTCCGGCGAGGCAAGCGTCACCCAGGGACAGCAGACCACGGCAGCCCAAGCCTCCAACAGATGCGAGAGGTTCAATCGCCACCCATTACTCGTGTGTTGCTGCTCCTTCCACCGAGCCCGTTACGATATCATCCAAAAGAACATCCCGGAAGTGCGTGACCGCCACTAGCACCTTTGCCGCGGTTGCGCGTGGGACGA